CTGGCATCGGGTCGCAACGTGTACACCGGTTGGTGGGAAAATTGGGCATTTCCACGCAAGGATTAAATATGCGGTTGAAAACTGGGCGGTTAGTTTTTCTGTGAATGGCGTGGTTAATCCTATCTTTCACATAGAGTTACATCTGTATTTTCGTCGGGAAGTGCTCTTTGCTAGGCCTTAATTTCTGTGGAATCTGAGAACAGATATTGCTCCGATCGCTCCGCCTTTGAAGAGTTAGGCGCCAAAGGAAATATCCTCCTGATAACAAAGAGAAAGCAGGCATTTGCTGAAGAAACTTCTTTGTGTTCTGTGAAATCATCCTGCACAGAGTTACACTCTTTCCCGCTCAAAGTAAGCCTTTCGCTAAGACAGTTCTTGTGGATACTTGGGCAACACGTGATGATTTGGAGCCCCCCCCGTAGAGGGCTATGGTGAAAAGGAAATATCTCTGCAGATTGAAATCTATAATGAAGGCTTTCTGAAGAAACTGCCTAAGTGTTCTGTTGAATTCCATTCTCACAGAGTTATCAAATTCTGTATTGTCGTGGGATCGGGTTTGCTAAGCGCTTATTTCTGTGGAATCTGAGATACAGATATTCATCGGATCGTTTGAAGACTATAGGGGCAAAGGGAAAATAATCCCTCCGATAACACAAAGAGACAAGGACCAGGCTTTCTGAAGAAACTTTCTTTCGTGTTTCTGTGAAATGCATCTCACAGTAGTTATCACCCGCATGTTCTTCACTCATAGTGGGAACTGAAACAATGGAGATCACCTTGGAGCTCAGGGAAGCGGGGGAACATTCAACACACTGGGGGCTATCATGGGGAGGGCGGGGAGGGGGGAGGGATGCATTGGGAGTTATACCTGATGTAAATGACGAAGTTGATGGGTGCAGCACAGCCAACATGGCAAGTACTAATACCATATGAACCAAACCTGCACTGGTTATGCGACATGTACCCTACCAACTTAAAGTAATATATAATAAATAAATAAAAAAAAAAAAAAAAAGAGAACAAAGAAAACGAAAACAGTGCAGGGGAAAATCAATAGTATTAATAGAGTCATGGTAATGAATGCAATCGTTTATTTCTGGGGTGGCTTTTATTGAACTGGTTTTGAACTTGAAACCTTTTAAGTTTATGAGTTAGAGAATAAGAAATTTAGGAAAAAAAATGAACCTTCTGCTAGACACGGCAACCATGTTGGGTTGATCAAAGCTAAAGTTTTCAGTTTTTGTAAAAGGGAATTGAGATAGGAATATATAAATGTGTATCCATAAGGAGGATACTATGGAAATGCTGGGGAATAGAGTGTGGTTTTTGATGTCAGAAATACCTATTTTTGAGTCCTACTTCTGTCTGTTAGCTCTATGACCATTGATCAATTTCTTTTTGCGTAAAACAGAATCTCCCTAGCTAGGGCTGTTATGAGACTCAGATGACATCACGTCTATTTATAAAGGCTTCTAACATGGTGCCTGGTAGGTTACCTACTTAACTAAACCACAGCTATGGTTTGCTGATGCCATCATTATCTTGGTATTTTATACTTCATTATAGTCTCCCAATTCAATGACCTCTGAGCTGAAGGCCAAGAAAGAGTTGTATGGTGTATGTGACCTTTCCAATCTGTTGATTAACGATAATCATATTAATATCAATTTTCAGGAGACAGCATAAATTTCCAAGAGATACAGAAAATCCTTCCAAAAGATGACAAACTCTAGAAATACTCAAGCAAATGTAGTAGGATCATGTACTATGGACACTGTAGAAAAGAATACTAGGGTAGGCTGGGTGCAGTGGCTCACACCTGTAACCCCAGCACTTTGGAAGGCCAACGCAGGGGTAGATCATGAGGTTAGGAGATCAAGACCATCCTGGCTAACACAGTGAAACCCCATCTCTACTAAAAATATAAAAAATTAGCCAGGCATGGTGGCACATGCCTGTAATCCCAGCTACTTAGGAGGCTAAGGCAGGAGAATCGCTTGAACTTGGGAGGCGGAGGTTGCAGTGAGCCAAGATCGTGCCACTGCCCTCCAGCCTGGGCATCAGAGTGAGACCACGTCTCAAGAAAACAACAAACAAACAAAAAGAGTGGATGGGAAGGAGAAATAAGAGTTTACATTTATTTACTTTTTACCCAAAATAACTTTCAAATTGATATTTTTAAAATCTAGAAACAATTTTGATGAATAAAGGTTTTTATGTTTTCATGTTTAGGTCCAGTGCATATAAGTTTATTCTTGATTAATGGCAGGGAGAAATTAACATATACCAACTTTGAGGAAGATGTGCTCATATATATTATTTTTATAATTCAGTCATATGACGCATTGTATTCACATTCTACATACAAGGAGATTGAGAACAAAATATGTAACGTAGATTCAAGTTGCGCAGCTAGAGTGAGGCCAGAGTTCATACCCCAGTCTCGTGGTCTTTCTGCAGCCTCAGAGTAGAGCAAAGATACTGGCACTTGAGAAACCAACATTGAACCACCTCCTCTGAAGCCCAGTGAGTGCCCTTCCTCTAGGCTCTGACCACAGTTGGGCCTCCCTCCCTCAGCCCACATAACTCATTGCATTGTGCTTATCTGTTCACTAGTCTTTAAAGTAAACTCCAGAATTGTAATACCTGTATCCTCTTCATCTCTGAACCTCCAGGACTTCAGAAGAAGTGACTGGACATAGTAGGTGCCTGGGGAAGGTTTTGGAATGAATGTTTGAAGACAGCATCTAGGTGTCCAGCTCCTAGACCTTTTCTTTGAGCGACAGTGGGTCTCAGTCTCATCTATTCAAGCTCCTATTTGGGTTCATATTTATCCCAACCCAACCTTCTTTCCCTGGCCATGGGTCTCTCTTCATTAAGACTGATGTTCCCCCAGCCCACCAAACCTGCAGTCTCCTAGGATTCTCTGCTTCCCCCTATTATTTTCCGCTAGTTTATCTAAGGTGCTGCTTCATAGGCTTTCACGGTCCCATCTGCAGTTCAAGCTGTTTGGCTATATCTGCTCATCAGCCATCAATGAGGACTCCAGGAAACCACCGCCCCAAACACCCTCCAGTTAGTCCCCCTACTCCTGGGGGCTGAAGCTCTGTTAGCCCACAATGGCTATGTAGCACCCAAAGTTTACCGCAAGGATGGGATGAGTGCATGGTCTGTTACACGGACAAGTACAAGGCTGTAAGGGTGGAAACTTCAATCCCACTTCTGCTGCTTGCCAGCTGTGGGACACTGCACCGTGAGAAGGCTGTGTGTGAAAGTGAGTCAGTAAAGTGGAGACAGGGATGAGCTGACCTCTGACTATCCTCCACTCCACAGCACACTTAGCTATGTCAGTGATGTGACACCAACACTATGTCTTTGAGGAAAATGGGCCTCCAAAAGAAGGAAAGATGCTTATGTTGATGACAGAATGGAACAAAAGGTGAAGATGTGTGAGCAAGTGATGGCTCTCTGCAAGAAAACAGATATGCATAGGGGAAATTCTGAACAATAGTGGAATTTTTCAATTTGGTTTTTCCCCCCTTAGGGCAAATCCCTCACAAATGTCAAGACACTACTAAAAATGAACAATGAAGAAAAGATAAAGAATACGAATGTGTTGACAGCATTGGAAAGTTTAATTTCTTCCTTTGTATTGAAAGATTAATTTTCTTAGTGCCAAGATTGATGTTTCTCCTCTTTTGCATGTTTGTCATTAGTATTCTGCGTGAAAAGTTAAACAGTTGAAACGGATAAAGATTACCTGCCAATGCTTTCCCCATGAATCAGATTCAAAATGCAAACTGTGACATGAGGCCGAGACGTTTATTTTATTTAGTAGGGAATCAGGAGAGGAAATTGCTCGGTTTCTGCGCTGCAGCCCCAGGCACTGGGAGGTCACACTGGTGTATCCCTCCCCCTCCTCCCATCCCTACCCCCACCTCCAGAATCCTCCCTTTCCTGCTCACTTCTCTCTTTCCCCTTCCCTTTTCCAAGCTGTGCCTGATATCATGATGATATACCACCCCTTCTGCATGCCCCAAAGCCTCTGTCTAGAACGAGGGTTTGAGCCTTACTCATTCCAATCAACTGGATTTAGCGTCACTCTACTCTGAAGACCAGAGAGAGGTTGGGGTTCAGCTATCCAGCTCTGTAACTCAAAAGCTGTTTGACCTTCAGCAGGTTGCTAAACCCTTCTGGATCTAGCTTACTTATTATATATAACACGCAGCTCTAACTACCTATTGGCTGATTCATTTAGCTAACTGTAACTTGTTCATGGCTCACCGCTTTCCACCTACCTAGAGTTAATGTCAGGCAGGGCATTTCTCTCCAGCTTTTTTAAGGCAACAAGCCTATTGGGGTGCTAAAACACCTTAAATGGAGGAGCAGGAGTGGACCAAGGACAGCTTCTGACTCGCAGCAGGTGGATGCCTAGTGGGAGGCAGGACTACTGTCATAAATATTGTTCTGTCCCCTACAGCAGGAGAATTTTGAGCAATATAATCCTTTCTGCTTCACACTGTAGCCTTTCTCCTGAAGTTAGTTGACTACTGGGGGCTCTTCTCCTGGCTGGCCTTCTTTCCCTTCTCTCCTGTTCCTTGAATATAGAGGGCTGTGTGCTGCATCTGGAGGGCTGGCAGAGGGAATGATGGGAACGTGCATTGCTTTTTGGCTTGGGGTTCATCTATTAAGCAATTGTGGGATGCTCCATCCTTTCAGGCTTTGCATTGCAGGGGATAGGCCAACAAGGTTGGCAAATGCATCTTTGAAATGAACATGTCTCCATTGTGCCTCATTTCTGGGATCAGAATGCATTAAGTCCACCCTGGATTTTGAGAGCCTCACCACTGTGGCCCCTGTTTACTTCTACAAGCCTCTGACTATAGTCTAATGCTCCCCCACACACCCCTCCAAGCAGAGGAGTTGCTTCCTACTCCCTCTCATCCCCCAGTTGTGTTGCTGCTTTCAAGCCTTACTCTGTCACCATCCCCTTTCTGGAGTGGTCTTGCCACTCTTCTGTACAACTTCCAGTCTTTTAACTCAATCCATTAAACTCCCCGTGATCCACGATAGTTTCCTATGGGACTGTGTTAGGTTCTGGAGATATGAGGAAGAACTAGACATGGTCCCTTTCTTCAGTGGACTCACACCTCAGGCTGTATCTTTTATATATTCTCCCTCTTTGCCTTAGTAGCAAGCACAGGTCTTGACGTCAAGTAGCATGTGGAAAATGTGTATAACTTCTATTTGGATGCCACCATGGACAGCATCATTTCAACCCAAAGGCCTTTACACTTGCTGTTTCTGCTGCTTGAGAAAATCTATCTTATCCCCTCAATAATTAAGCTTTATTAGGTCTTAGCTGATGTGTTACTTCCTTGTGGAAGCCTTTTGCTGGACACTATATGGCTCATTTTTATAAGAACTCATGGCTGCTTGTATTCTTCTGTTATAGCATTTATTACGTTTTTTTGCTGATTTGCTTGTATGATTTGAATATTTGATGCCTTCCTCTCAAGATTGCAAGCTCTATGATCTAAGTTTTTCACCACTCTGCCCAGTGCCTGACACAGTGGCAAGTCTACTATGTTGCTATCTGATTAATTTGTATTAAATAAATAACTGGTAACTTGATAGCCCAAATTTTATAATGGTAGCAAAGAGGGATGAATTTTCAAGATAAATGTCTAAAAAGCTGGAAAAAAACCTTAAATGGCTGGCTAGTTGGATGAATGGATGAATCAATTAATGGATGATTGAATGAATTAATAGTTTAGAAAATAAAACCAGGTCTTCCCAAGCAGCAACTTCTGGCAATTGAGAGCCATTCAGAGATTTACCATATATCTGTCTTTTCCTCTCCAACCTCTAGCTCATGTTTTGCCCCACCAATATTCTATTATCCCCGAATCCCACATTCTTATGTGTCTGCACATCCAGAGGCAGAACCTGGCGCTTGTGCTACATGATACATGATGAGTTCAAGTTTTTAGTGTAAGATTTTCCATCCACTGGCTTTTATCCCACCTATGCTGGGGAGTCTTCCCTGAGCACAGCAAAACTACACAGTTCTGGTGGTAGCACGGCCCATGGGACATCTGTGGGCAGGACACCACCAAGGGAATACAAAGGAGTGAAGATATTAGCATCCATTTGTCTTAAGGTCAGCATTTTTTTTCAAGTTTTTTTTTTTTCATTTCTTTTTTCAAAAACAGTAAACTTTGATCTTCTGCCTCCATTCAGTAAGTATCAAAAGTGGACCCTCGATACTTCCATTTTTGATGTAACACATAAACTGGAGATCTGTAGGAGATATTCTTTATTGCTTTTAAAAGGCTTTTACCAAAGAAAAGTAAAAGGTTCTCTTAATCTGGGAATGTAGACTTTTCATGATCCTGTATATAACCCCAGAGGAATGGGAGGTCACATCCTGATGAATCAGCATGTTGGTGTTCTCGTTGCCTTTCTTGTTTCAAATGGGATGCATGTACATTTCCGACATACCCTCCTGAGAGGCACCACCACATGCTTGCAGCATCACTACCCAAGTCCTGGTGGCCAAAGGCAGAGAGGTACAGACATGAGGCCAGGATTCGGGATGTGACCATATTAAATAAGTATAACCTCCTCCTACAGTCCAAGTAAGTGAGTGAAGTACTGGGCAGGGAATGGGAACATGAGGTCCTTGTTCAGCGAAGACCTTAACCACCTGTATGAGCTCTGGAAAGTCCTTTAATATCTGTGTGGTTTCACTAAGGTTAGGAATAAGAGTGTATGTAGATATGTATGCATTCAAATGTATGATAGCTGACTGACAAAATCTAATTTCCTTCAGTAATCTGTTGAAATCTATCAGAAACCAAGTCTACAGACAACTGCAACAGAATGTGCTGCTGTTTTATGGTTATTTTACCAAATTCCCAGGTAGAATGAGACTATCTGGGGGTTCCCTAATATACTTCATGGTGCAGGACACATTGATATGGGATATAACCTATTGCTGAACTTGAGCAAATTTTGAAATCACAAATTCTAAGGGCTTCAGGTAAGCCTAAAGGCATTCCTCCCAGCAGATGCTTGAATCTCCTTTCCAGCATCTGCAACAAGCGTTTTCTACTCCTGCTTACCTACTTCCTAGCAACAGAGAATACAGTACCCTCCTGAGGAAGTCTACTTGCTTTTTGAATTGGGACTCAACCTGTGTATAAGTTTGTGTGAACTGAATGTGTGTGCATACACACAAGCATGTGTGTGAGTGTAAATGTTGTGTACACACAGCATGTGCAATCCATGAGTTTGTTTCTAGTGTTTGTGTGGCTGAATCTTCTACTGTTTACCTCTCCAACATTTTCAAGGAGAAATAAAACTTTTCTAGGATTGTCAGATATTTTCGATTCTTGCAGCCTCTCTCCACCAGTACAGTTAATTGAGGGTTGATTTTGTTTGCAGATGTTATGCATTATTCATCCAGGGTCTCTATGGACACCTCATTTCCTGCCTTAGAAAAGAAATCAACAAACAGATGGATGTCATTGCTGTTGCAGTGCTGCACTGAAAGATAGATGGTGGGCTAGAGAACTTGTTCCCTTGTTTGCACAAGGTGCTTTTCTTGCCAGCAATAAAAGAGCCTCATTTTCTTGCAGTGACACTTTTTGACCAGCCTTTAGACCCGCTTACTTTCCTCATTACATATATGTAAGTAGGGCTGTGGTATAAGCTGATATTTAACCACACTAGGGATGTTGCTCCAAGTCTTCTGCTCACAGTCTTACCCCGCTGGGACCAACCTCACCTAGAAGCAGGGAGGGGCCAGTTGGGCTGTGGACACCTTCTCACCTTTAATGAGAATCCACATCCTCTGGGAGCAATTTACTATGGCTAGAGAGCTGACACAACTCATTGTCTATGGCTGGGTACTGGAGTCCACCTGGTGAGACCCAGGTGTCATTTTTTATATATCTGCTCTGAACATCCTGGCCTGCTCTGCCTCTTCTTGTGCCCCTCACTCCATTGCTAGCCCCAGGATCTCCCACAAGCCTGAGTAAAGACAGGTGCAATAAGACAATGTCTAGAGGGACAACTTGGCCTCTGCAGACTCCTGTGGATATAGAGCCTCAGAGAATGTTTTGAACTATGATCTCAAAACTATGGTGTGACGTAGTTGTGTATTCACCAGATCCTATGCTTTAGCTCTTCATGAAAGTCTGTGATGACTAGGTTGCAGAAAACCGGCTAAAGTACAGATCACTTAGGGCAACTCCTGGAGACTCCCTTCGGATGCACATTGGCCTATTGGTGAGAAGTATGATGTTTTAAGATATATATGTTCAGCCAACTGTAAATCTCTCACGGGAACTCTTTTCCACCAATTCCATAATAATAATTGCTTCCTTCCTTAGGAATATTTGGACATATGCCAATGACAGGAATGACAAATGAATTTCCTCTGGTGTGACAATACTAACAGATTAGGTAGGTGTAGTCCCTCTTAACTATTTTGAGAAAAATGTTGAACCTGTTCAGTGATAATGAATGCTGGGGTTGATTAGCAATGTCTGCTATGGGAATGAGATAACAGAGCTGTAGTGTGCATGCTATAGTGCTTGGAACAGGCTGTGGAGCTGGACTTCATCAATTTAAATCCTAGCTCTAACATTTCCTATAATTGTGTGATATTAGACAAATGACTTAAACCCTTTGTGCCTCAGCATCTTCATATGTCATTGAGAATATTGATAGTACTTCCCTTTAGGGCTTTTGTATGGATTGAATCATCTAATATGTGCAGGGTACTTGGAATGGTGCCTGGCACATAAGTGCAACGTAAGTATTTGCTGTTATTATAATTACAAATACATACCCTTGACCTTCAATCCAACAGGAGTTAAAGTTCACCTGGTTTATTTATCATGTATGCACTCATTTTGGGTCCCCAGGCTTACCACTTTCTTTTCTAAGTGCTCATAAACCATCTCTTTAGATGTTTTCTGTGGTTCCCCTGGATATCACTGTGCATCGCAGGCATGTATTTTGGATCCATACTCTCTCTATCCTTGAAAATTAGGACTTTTGTCATTGCTTAATCTTCAGGCATTGCTCTAATTATGTTTCACATCTGTCTTTGACAGATCCTGGTGACATATTTAACTAGTCATTGTGTATCACATACAGTTCTAAGAGCTTCCCATTTTCCTCATTATTCCTCACAACAACCTTTTTAGATTGGCACTATGATAGTCCCCATTTTACCAATAAGATCTTTCACATTTAGAGAACTTAAATATCTTGCCTGAGATTTCTCAGCTAGCAAATGGTAGATCCCAAATTTGGATTCAGGTCATTGCTTATCTAAAAGATGGTTTTCAGACTTTTTGTTTGGTGGAGAAGAGATTTTTTTAATGGAGGGAAGAGGATCATAGCTGATATAAGACAAGATTTGGGAGTTTGGGTGAAGTACAGGCTCAGAAACCAGAGTCTTAAGACCAACCAGATTGTAGTTGTGGTGTGTCCATTTTACCTTTGCTGAATTTCAGGAAGGAGGGAGAAAGAAGACTGAATTTTTTCCTTTAATTCAAGGGACAAGTTTTTGGAGATTAGGACAGAGCCCAGGGAGAGATATAGGTCAAGGATCAGGCAAATGAGCTGATTAAAGGTTAAACATATAAATTGTAGCCATTCTTCTTATTTATATTTTTAAGATCCTAGGTAAATTTGTAATACCTCTGCCTTGTTATTAATAGCTATTTCTCAGCATTCTGCATTGGAAGGGCTCAGCTTCTACCTCCTAGCATCTTTCTCTTGCAAGTAGTTCATTCTTCTATTCATCTGTCCACTGATCCATCCCATCATCGATTTAATCATCCTTGAGCTAGATTGTTGTGCTGTGGACAACAAAGTAAAAAAGATAGACTGCTGTTTTTGAGGGTTGTGCTTTTAGAGTCAAATGGGGAAAACAAAAAGTAAACATACTCAAACAGTAAGATTTTGACTGATATAAACAAAATATTTAGGTTCTGTGGGGCTCCCAAAATGGACACCTAACCCAACCTGAGAGAGGAGAGTAGTATCACTGAGAGCTTCTCAGAGGAGATGAATTTTGAGTTAAGTGGATAAGTTGTTTGTAGCATGGAAAGAAATTGAGGTGAGGAGTTTGGGGCAGAGAGAGATAGTAGTATCTGGAACATTTGGGAAACTTCAAAATGTTGGCATGCTTAGAGCGTAAATTGCGCAGGTGGCAGTGGCATGGGAGCTTGTTCCTATGCATCTCATAGTCCAGGTTAAGGAGTCTGGATTTTAAGGAGGTTGGAGTCATTGATCTCTGGGGGCTCAACAGGAAGCTAAAGGCAGGAGCATTTGGTATCTTATCAGCCGTTCATTATGCCATGACATCTCTAACACACTGGATGATTTTGTGGCCCATTATTCATTTCCCCCCTAAGAAAAGCAGATGCAAACATAATCACTTGGTTAAAATAAGATTTAGAGCACCTTTATCACAGAAGAGATGGTACTATCATAAAAGCCACTGTCCCACAGGCAACATTTCCTATTAACAGTAGAAGATTTAACAGATGTCCATTATCTGAGAATAGGATTTGTTCTGATAATGGCCAGACAATGAGTTCCAGACAGTTTGTAATCCAGGATCTCCTTCATTCTTGTGCAGAGCCCATAAATCAAGGTTGACTTTTATGTGACACCTGGACACACCATAACTTGTTGAGGGAGGAATTTCTCTGAAAGTCTTGTATTTTTAATCTAGAATCCAGCTGAGCCACAATTTCCCATCCCGACCCCATTTCACATTTATGGCCAGCAAGACTACACTGACATTTAAGGTCATTTGAGCTGCCCTTCACAGGGTTGTAACTGCAGAAAAACAAAGGAAGCCATCTCTCCATGGCAGCTGTCAGTACCACCCCTGCCCCCTCCTATGACTCTCCCCACGCAAAGTCCTTCCACCCCCATGTCACTGAAGTTCCTCGGAGACTGTCAATACTGGACTGACCTGACTTGATCTGCACAATGGATATGGTGATGTCATGCCTCTTCCGTGGGTTTCTCCCTGGACCCTGCAAGGGAGGCCTTCACAGCTTGCAGTGGAATATCTGAGGCAAAACCTTCCAACAGAATTTCATAGTATCTGTCACATTCTCATATTGTCTCTTTCTTTAAAAATTCAGTTGAATAATTTCAACTTATTTCACAGAATAAAGTAAATATTTTACATTTGCTAAAACTTTGTACTTTGTTCCAAGTTATTTAAGTGGAAAAAAAATGTATGTAATAAAATTTAAAATAAATCAACTGAGACAAAACAAAAAAAGCACAAATATTAAAATGTAACTAAAAAAGTAAGTATGCAAAACACATTGAGTCTTTTGGTCCCTGTCCCTGCTTCCTGAAGACCTGCCAGCTTAGAGGCTGCTCATGTAACTGGAGCTCAATTAAGCAAGCTGACTGAACCCTGGTCTAGGGCTCACTCCTTTTACCTCATGTCTCACTTGTTCATATCTCTTGGGATTCTGATTTGGGCATTGTTTTTCTCTGCGTGGCCTTGTGTGCCCTTCAAAATCAAGCTTAATTCTTCTAGTCTCTTGGAGTTAACCTCTGGCTTCCCTTCTTGGCCCAGATTCAGATTCTCCCTTGGATTACATGGCTTCTGAGTGCCCTGGTTCAACACCTGAGATGGCTCCCTCAGGGCAGCCTTCAAATCTGTGCCTCTACCCAGCTTCTCCGGCAGGGAACTGGTCCTAGGGAAGCCCTTTTGTTCTGCCCAGTGGAAAAGGGGACCTATTAGTTCAGCAGGCTCTAAATTCCCAAAGCAGTAAAGAAGTAAAGCCCTGTGTTTTTAATGGTGCTCTATTTTGGTCTTCCTTTTCAGCTTGTTTTATTTATTTATTTAGAGACTGGGTCTCGTTCCCATTGTCCAGGCTAGAGTGCAGTGGTGAAACCTTGGCTCACTGCAGCATCAACTTCCCAGTCTTAAGTGATCCTCTCACTTCAGTCTCCGGAGTAGCTGGGACTCCAGGCATGCGCCACCATACCTGGCCTATTTTTTGTATTTTTAGTAGAGACGGGGTTTTGCCATGCTGCCCAGGCTGGTCTCAAACTCCTGGGCTCAAGTGATCTGTGTATGAGTTAAAGAGAGAAGAAAGAAACAAAAAGTCCGGCTTAACAGTTAAAGGCAGGTTTATTTTAGAGAAAAAGCATGAGAGGGGCTTCTGGCTGATTTAAGTTAGGAGCACTTTTTTTTTTTTTTTTTTTTTTTTTTTTAAACAGACTAAGAGTATATATTGGTTTTAGGGTGAGGGGGATTATTAGAAGCTTGGAATGTTTGTGTGTGGGGGAGAAATTTATGGTGGAGTTGGAATGTCTCTGGGTGGAGCGGAGGTTGTCTTGGGGCTGGTATGTGTCTGGCAGAAGGCGGGTTATCTCAGGGCTGGCATCTTCCTCACTGAAGGGGTTATCTTGGGGCTGGCATGTCTCTGGTTGGGGGGGAATTTGGAATGTTTCTGGTGGGAGATGTTATTTGTGGTTTATGATCATGCTGACCTTAGCCATTAGGCTGATGCCCTTTGGATTTAGGTGGTTTTTGATTAAGTTGAATTTTAAAATAACAACACTTGTCCAAGATGGCGATAATCCTGCTCTGTCAATTTTCCCACCTTGACCTCCAAAGCACTGGGATTACAAGCATAAACCACCATGCCTGGCCTTTTTCAGGTCTTTTATATTGATCAATCTGCTCCATCCAAGATCAATGAGGAAAAACAAAGGCACTATCAATAATGGATGGCCAAATGCAGGTCAATTGCTTACTGCTGTCTAGTGTATGTCAGGTGATGTGGGCAGAAACAAGATGAAGCATGACACCTTGTTCTGGGAGCGTGAGTCCTGTTGGAGACACAACACTAACACAGAAAATAAGGAATAGTGAATCTCATGGGAAGAGTGGGCTACACCAGCCAGGGAAGGCTTCCTGGAGGAGGTGAGGATGAATGTGATCCTTGAAGGGTAGGGCAAACGTAGGGTGAAGTTTCTGACTCAGAAGCAGGCTGGGCATAATAATGGCAAGACAGTTAAAGGAGGTGTACGGGGGCAGGAAAGGGTACTGGTCAGGGGGTCAAAACAGAGCTTTGTGGTAGGAAGTTAGTGGCCTTCAAATGCCAGATTTGGAACTGGGAATCTGGTCCTAAGAGTAGGTGCATTGCATGTGGGTGGGCTGGTGATGGGTAGAGGAGTTCTGAGTAACTCTGGGCTGCACCTACATGATGTGGTGGGGTGGCCAGGCCTGACTCTGTCACCAACTGTGTCCCCTGGGGAGGTTGGTGGCGTCCTAGAGCCAGTCACCATTTCTTGATCTTAAACGTGGGATAATGACTCCAGCCTCATGAAGCTGTTGTGAGGATTGTTGTCCACAAACCTGGAGCCTGGTGCCCCATGGATAATCAGTGCTTGACAAACACAAG